GCTGCTGCCGCGGCCCCGGCCTCCGCTTCGGGGCGCCGGGACCGGAGCGGCGCCCTGCAGCCCCTCGGCAGCTTCCCCCGGCCGCAGCCCGCGCGGGTCCAGGCGGAGGGCAAGGGGGGACCCTCCAGGGTGGCCCTGGGGTCTCCGGGGATTAGAGAGCACGCTCCAGGCACCGAGCACGTGGGCACACTGGCGCACGCCGCCACTCCGCCCCCCGAGCAGATTCAACCAGAGCTGGCGGCCCCGAGGCAGCGCGGTGCACGCGCCCCACTGCAGCTTTTCACAGCCGCAGCCTGGGCAGATCCCGGCTTTGGGGAAGCGGCGCCGAGGGCGAGGTGCATGCCCCGCTCCCCCGGAGTAGTGGTGCTCAACCTTTTTTTGTACAAGGACCCACGTGCAAATATTGACGGCCAGTCCGGACCCATGGCCCCTCACTCCTGAACCCCTGCCCCCAGGTCCCAACTCCAGGGTTCAAATTACTGGGGAGCTCTGCCCCTGCCCCCATAAGAGATGAGAGCCCCTTTGTAAGATTTGAAAATCATAACCTGGAAGATCTCCAGTTTTATTAGGGCATCATGATGGGCAGGCCTATCTTTTGCAGACCCCCACAAAAGTCAAAGTGTGGTTCAAACCCTGCCCAGCCCCCAAGTGTATGGGGTACAGGGTGGGTGTGAGGGACATGGGAGGGGCTCTAAAAAGCCTCTGGCAGCCCCTAGAACACAGCACAGGCCCTTGCCCAGTTTAACCAGAAGCTTTATGATGGGCTAGGGGCCTCGGGCAGGGTGGTTTGCTGTCAGACTGAAGTGAAGTGAAAACAAACAGAACTCCATTGAAACCAGTGGGCCCCCCAAGACTCTGTCCTAGGTCATATACTATGTAACATCTTCATTAATGATGTGGACATACGTGTCAGAAGCGGACTGGCCAAGTTCACTGATGACACCACACTCTGGGGTAAAGCATCCACACCTGAGCACAGGAGGGTGATCCAGGCAGATCTTGACAGGCTCAGGAAATGGGCGGACAAGAACCTGATGGTGTTCAACACCAAAAAATGCAAGGTTCTCCACCTTGGGAGGAGAAACCTGCAGCATCCTTATAGGCTTGGCAGTGCTACGTTGGCTAGCACTACAGATAAAAGAGACTTGGGGGTCATCATTGACCACAAGATGAACATGAGCCTTCAATGTGATGCTGTGGCTAGTAAAGTGAGCAAAACACTGGCTTGCATCCATAGATGCTTCTCAAGCAAATCCCAAGATGTCATCCTCCCCTTGTACTTGGCCTTGGTGAGGCCGCAGCTGGAGTACTGCGTCCAGTTTTGGGCTCCACAAGTCAAAAAGGGTGTGGAGAAGCTTGAGAGAGCGCAGAGGAGAGCCACGCGCATGATCAGAGGTCAGGAAAACAGACCTTATGAGAGGCTGAGAGCCATGGGACTCTTTAGCCTGGAAAAGCGCAGGCTCAGGGGTGATCTGATGGCCACCTATAAGTTTATCAGGGGTGACCACCAAGATCTGGGGGAGCGTTTGTTCACCAGAGCGCCCCAAGGGATGACAAGGTCGAACAGGCATAAACTACTGCGAGACCGTTTCAGGCTGGACATAAGGAAGAACTTCTTTACTGTCCGAGCCCCCAAGGTCTGGAATAGACTGCCGCCGGAGGTGGTTCAAGCACCTACCTTGAACACCTTCAAGAGACATTTGGATATTTATCTTGCTGGGATCCTATGATCCCTGCTGACTTCCTGCCCGTGGGGCAGGGGGCTGGACTCGATGATCTTCCAAGGTCCCTTCCAGCCCTAGCGTCTATGAATCTATGAAATGAGTTGGAAGCAGCTGGCCGGGCTGTGGGATAGGAGCTGCGCTACCAGGAGCCCAGACAGCAGAATGGCAGAACAAAGGCTGGTTTGATCCTACAAAGGTCGAGACAATTAAAAAAGAGAGGCTCTGTAACACCCGTGGAACAAAGCATTTAGAAGGGATCAGGTAGATTGCAATGAGCCATGAAGTCACAAGACTCCTTTGCTGCTGCCTGAATAGAAATGCTGCTCATGCTGCCAGATAGTTGGTTTTAAACTTTGGGTGGAGCAGAAATCAAAAGGGGGTACAACTGCTCCACTGCCGCCCTTGGATCTGCCTCTGCCTTGGGCTCCTGCACTGCTTCTTGATGGTCATCTCCCTGGGCCCCCACTGTCCGCTGCCCCTCAGTTATTAGCCATTTCCATTGTTGATTGGAACAGGAGAATCAGATTGAAAAGGACAGTCACTGGGGTGACCATGCCAAGCATGCAGACATAAGGCAGAGTATTCTTTGGCAAATCTAGGATTTTGAAAAGGGGGCATAGGGGCAGATGGCCTCATGCTTCACCATATGCAACACAAGACATGTTTTTATCCAGGTAAGAAGAAGCTAGAAGCTTTAATCTGCTAGGGCCCTAGGGCCATATTATTCAGCTTAAGATCAAAGCAAAAACACATATAACTTTATTGGCATGTGCATCAATTTGCTATATTATTTATTCTGTATAAAAAAAAAATCAGCAAACTAGGCAAAAATGATGAAAAAAATGTTGTTTCTTTAGTCCTGCTGTCATTAGAACTAAATGTGCATCTCTTTTAGATTTATAAAACAAAATCTAGCCTTCTGGAGCATCTTGACAGTACATCCAATATTTCACTGAAAGATATTTCCACACCTCAGCCAATGTTCAGCTGAGTTAATGTTTCCATACCCAAGTTAATGGTTTCAGCCAGAGTAAGAAATAATTTGCAGGGCTTTGAAATAGAAGCAACATTAAAAGCAGTAGCTAGTATTTTGCAACAGAACTGCAAAAGAAAGATTAATTTAATTGGTGGAACATCAAGACATTAAAAAAGGAGAAAGGGTTGTTAATTCCTGGGGAATTAAGGGTTTAGAAGGAATCAGGTGAATTATAATGAGCCATGAAATCAAGGGACTCGCTCACTGCCTGAACAGAAATTCCACTGCCACTACCATGCAGTTCATTTTAAACTTTGGGTCAACCAGGAATCAAAGCAGAGTACGACTGTACCACTGCACCCACCTGGATCCATGCCTGATAGTGTTTATCATTCATGCTTTGTCTGACATGATGTCTTACATGTACTTATTTCTCTGTATGGTCTGAAACAGGCACTAACATATATTTCTAGTATGGTAGTTCATGGAGAAAAAAATCTGTTTTTATTAGGCATTTTCCCCCCATCATGTTGAATTAAAAGTTGTAAACACTGTGACAGATACGTACATACTTCAGGTACCTCTGTAGATCAGAAACACTATATTCCCTTAAGTGATTTTGTACATGAATCTCACCATTTCCATTGGCTCTGAGGGAATCATTTAACTGATCGATCTGTGTTTCCTAGCTGGTGAGTATACCAGTGATACTTGAATTTTAACTGTAAGATATTTTAACTGGATTTTGTTCCCATTTACTTCAAAACTATAGGTCTGATATTTTACTTCTGTGTTTGGTCTTGTGACAGGGGGCCATCTTGAGGCTGGTCCAACTGTTGGCCCACCCATCTGTCTAGGGCAGTCTGCCCTGTCTTGCCTGCCACATCTTTGATGTTTCCAAAAATCGGTGTTCATAAGCAGGAGGCTGCCCATTTGGTTGCCCTGATGCCAAGCGCAAAATACACAGCTCCAAACCTTCCCTTGCACCGTGTCCCATGCCTTGCAGATCATATCCACAAATCACTTCCAACTCCCCCGGCCCCATTGCTAGGCTGCGCTTGGACTCTGGCCCAAACTCTGCCTCAGATGTCTTCAGACGTCCTTGGCCACACACCCCCTCACTAGGGCCCCTACTCCAGCCGTCCTACACGCAGTCCTTCAGGCCCTACTCTACACAACCCTACTCTACATGGCTCCAGCTGCCACTACTCTGGCCAGCCTATGCACAGTTCTTCAGGCCCCCATGGACCCTACTGTATGTGGCCTCCGGCTTTCTGCCCCACACCAGGCCAAACTCGGCCTCCAGTCCCTCTCTTGGCCATTACTCTGCCCCTTACCGGGGCCACTGCTCTGCCCCTCACTGGGCTGCCGAGCCTTACACCCTGTGGGCCTCAGATCCTGCTAGATGGACCTTGGCCCTGTCACAGGTCCCACTCTGTGGGCCTGGACCCTGCCTCATACCCCACTCAGTAGACTTGGGCCCTATGCTCTTCTGTCGGGGTGTGCTCCTCTAGCCTTTCCCCTCCACAGGATACCCACATGACAGCACGGTCTGAGGCTCTCTGATGCCCCATTTCCTCAGAAGTACCCCACCATAGGCAGCCCCACCACACCATCCAACCCCAGCAGGGTGCAGTTGCAAGTCATTCCTTCCTCCCCATAGTTCCTATCCTGACCTCCAGATGTTCTGGGAGCTGCAGGGTGCGTGATGGTGCTCTTCTGTCTCCCTAGGTGTAACCGCTGGCTCTGCTCCTAGGGCCTGGGCTTATACTGGGGCTGCCCAACCCTCCTCCAATCCAGGGACCCTCTTGCAGTCAGATGACAACCTAATTGGGCCTAACTGCACCTGCTGGCTGCTCTACAGCCTGCTGAAGCCCCTTAAAGTGGCAGGTACCAATGGTGCCCTGCCAAAGTTCTATTCATCGATGGCTGATCTGTGCAACTGTTGTCAGTTTGCATTATATTGTAAATAGCCCTGAATCCAAACTATGCAGTGCTTTAGTATAGCAAATTACTGTGGTGTTATTTTACTCCTGTTGAAATCAGTTGTGTGTAAGATATGTCATAGCTATGTTTGTGTGATGCCCTAATCACTAAGCAATTCAGCAAAAAAAGTTGGAAGAACTTTCTCCTTCTTCTCTAGGGGCACATCTACACAAGGTATACTGCAGAGTTGCCTAATTAGCTCCACATTAAACATCTCAGCATCTACATGTGTGGCACTAGTAGGCCACAGGAAACTAATAAACTCCGCAGAAGGTTAGGACTTGTAAATACAAGTATTATCCTGCTGTGGAGTTTTTTCATGCACAGCAATGCATGTGTAGACACTGACCCAGCTGGCTGGGGCATGAGAGTGTTTCAGTGCGGGTGCTGTCTGCCAGCCAATGCCCTGCTGAAGCACCCTCGTGCTCCAACCAGCCCCCTGCAGCATAGTAAGCTGGGTCAGAGCAGCTTCAGGCTGGCATGCAGACCCCCTGGGCTCCCTGCCAGCCAGGGCTGCTCTGACCCAGCTCAACATGTTGTGGTCTTGGGTGCATGTGTAAATATGGCACCCAAGTGCGGCACATTAATATGAATGCATAGATGAGCCCTGGGTTTTGCAACTTAACACAGAGTTTCGTGCCTTTCCAGAGGGAGCAGGATCTAAAATCTGTGTAAGTAGCCTGAAAACCACATACACAGCTACAGTTAGCCAGGTAAGTGCTGCTTATCCATCTGAAGGTTGAGTTGGATTTGGGCTGAGATAAACAGTCAGCCAGTCTCCCATCACTAAAAATTTCTATGCACTGTGGAAGGTCCATTGCACTGCAATTCCAAAGCAGGGAGGAAAGCTGGAAAATCACTTACTAGCTACAGAGTCTCTTGAGATTGGAAAAGTCTCTAGGGATTGTATCTCTAAAGTGTGTGTGTGGGGGGGAAATATCTGCTGCTGTGAAAACTAAAAAATGACTCATGCATATGTTACTTTTCTCCTCTTACAGGGTCTGCATTTGAGGCTCTAAACCTTTAAGGATATTGCCATTAACAACTACCCAGCATCTGGTAAAACTGAGAGAGGAACAAAAAGAGGAAATAAATGGTGACCTCATGGAAACTTCTGAGAAAGAAAAGAAGGTGGGTGGCTCAGGAGCAGAGGGCATGTCTCCAAGATAAAAAGCAAGGGCAGAGAGACCAAGAGGGAGGGCCTCTCCATTATCAAGGAATTGGCAGGGAAAGGGTGTGCAGTGACCAGATGCCTTGATGGTGGTGCAACCTTCTGGTGGTTGAGTGGAGCCTTACTGTGACCAAAGAGACTATAGAAATGGACAGGGAGCTGCAGTGGAAGTTGATGAAGGAAAATGTACTCCATCAAAGCCACCACTTGCCTTCTACCCCATCCATCTTCACTGCATTCACATCAACATTAAGTTTCACCAGCCTTGGTCCTCAAGCCTGTAATGCCCCAGTTACTGGGGACAAGTATTTATCACTAAACCCCCCTGCCAAGACTGTTTCCATCATGGTAGTAAAAACACAAGCCCTGAGGAGCCAAATGTCCTTGATCCCTCCCACCCAAATATGAGGTGGGTGTTATTTCTTTTCTGAGTGGCAGCCAATAGGAGTGGCTGCTTCCAGTGACTGTGTGCTTTTTTCCCAATTATCTAAAAGCTCAAAGCCTGTGAACTGAAATGTCCCTTGTCCCTTACTTAAACTGACTGCCATGTTTGAATATTGGCATGTTTAAGAAAATATGTTCCTGGTTGACAGCAGTGATTCTCAGCTAGGGTGCCACATCACCCAAAGGTGTTACGAGATCCTTTATAGAGTGCCGCACAATATTAGCACTGGTGGTTAGGCAAATACCTACACAAACTCACAAGATAACCCCACAGATTTCAGATAGGAAGTCATAGTGCTAAAGGGCATTTATAGACATGCTCCAGGAGGTGGGCACTTTAACTGGTACAGGTCTGAAAGCCATGCTAATTAGAAGTGTCTGAAGCATCATGTGTATCAGCGTCCCCGCACTGAAAAATGGGGGTGGGGTGCCTTGAACTTAAGCTCATTGACTGAGCTTAAGTTTAAAGTGACCCTCCACCATTTTTCAGCACAGGGGTGCTGATACATGTGATGCTGGGGTCTTCTAGAGCACAGTAATTACCATACTCCAGCAGACTTAATTGAGTCTGCTCTGATACACTGTAATTAAAGCACCGCAGCATCTTGTGTAATAGTGTCCTTGCCCTTCAAAATGGAAGTGGGGGTGTTTGAACTAAAACTCATTCAATAAGCTTTAGTTCAAGCACCCCTGCCACCTTTTTGAAGCACAGGGCCACTAATATACAAGATGCAGAGACTGGCTGGCACCATACAGTGGTAATTACTGGTTCATCGAACTAGCTTTAGTTAAAGCACCCCTGCCACCATTTTTTCAGTGCAGGGATGCTGATACACATAATGCTGGAGTCTGCTGGAGCATGGTAACTATCACGCTCCAACAGACTTAATTAATCAAGTCTGCTCCAACGTGCTGTAATTATAGTGCATCAGAGCAACCTCCCTGCATGTGTATAGGTGTTCTTTATGATTTGGGAAAATCTAAATATGGACTAGAAATCAATGGATATTCTAAATTCCCCAAATAAATCAATGACTAGAACTAGATTATAGATTTAGAGAATCAAAACAGCATTTTCTTTAATTCTTCCTAAATTTAGAGTCAGAATAAAATATTTTACAAATTTATAGTATCTTTAAACCCAAACAAACTGAGATTATAATATGAACAGCCCATGGTGTAGAGAACAAGCAAACTGGTACATAAAGGAATGGAAGAGAGAATATTTTGTCTGCTATACCTGGGCCAGCTTGTACTCCCATGAAAAGTGCAAGAAAACTACAGTGTCTATTGAAAACTACAGGGCTTTCAAGTTTCAGCCAGAAAACAAACACCAGAAGTAATCTCATGATAGTCAGTTCTTTATTGAGGCTGATTCAGCTGTTCACCCTTTAACTACCTTAGTAAGATGAAAGGCCAAGTCAGCCTTACTGGCATTTGAGCCTGTGGTTTCAAAGAATCACAGTGTTGAAAAGCTGATATTTAGACCATTAAGCCATTTCTTTCTCCTATACATTTTCTGAACAATTTTCTGAAAAGGTCCCATTTCTCACTGCAAACAGAGCTTAGGAGACAAGCACCATACATTTACTGTGCCCAAATCAAAAATCCTGGTAACTACTCACAGTGGCTATCCCACGATTACAAGTGGAAATGCATAAACAATAGTGGGACATTTTTGTTCAATATCTCAGGCTTGGTCTTCAGCAGCTACAGAAACTAAAGCATTTTAAATTTTTTCCTTTTTGGCCACCCCTGAGTTAAAACAAAGTGCTTAACAAAGTTTCTCTTAAGAC